TGGCCACACTGGTGTAGCGTCGGGGGTCTCAGGGATCGTGCTTGCGATCCCGCCCCTGTTCCATGGGGCCCGGATGGCTTCCCTGTCATATTACGATTTTATGCCACACATATTGGCAGACTGTGGTCCTGCTAATGGTCCTGTCTCTCAGAGCCTTCTGTTGTGTACAGAGCCTTCTTGTGTTAACAAGCATGTGATTGGCTTTTAGCATGCAGGGTGGTCCTAGCAACCAATAGCCAGCTTGCAGCATGTACTGCCCAGTGGGAGAGCTGCGATCTTTATTGGATGGGGGGGGGGCTGAGTACAATTATTGAAGGAGAGGGCTGATATTAATGGAGAGGAGGGGGCTGAGGTCATTAATAGAAAGGGGATAAGGATATTAAGGGGGGCTGGGCTGAGGTCATTCATTGGGGAAGGGAGGCTGAGGATATTAATGGGGGGGGGGGGGGGGGGGGCTGAGGACATCCATTATTCAGGGGGCTGAGGAAATTCATTGGAAAGTGGGTGGCTGATGATATTAATGGAGGGGGGCTGAGGACATTAATGGAGGGGGGGCTGAGGTCATTAATGGAGCGGGTATTGAGGACATTTATTGGGGGGGGGGGCTGAGGGCATTAATGTAGAGGGGCTGAGGACATTAATGTGGGAGCTGAGGACATCAATGGGGGTACTGAGGACATTAATGGTGGGAGCTGTCAATGTTATTGAGGACATTAATGGTGGTGCTGTGGATGTTATTGGGGGGGGCTGAGGACATTAATGGAGGGGGGGGCTGAGGTCATTTATGGAGGGTGCTGAGGACTTTAATGTGGGAGCTGAGGACATCAATGGGGGTACTGAGGACATTAATGGTGGTGCTGTGGATGTTATTGGAGGGGGGGCTGAGGACATTAATGGAGGGGGGGCTGAGGTAATTTATGGAGGGTGCTGAGGACTTTAATGTGGGAGCTGAGGACATCAATGGGGGTACTGAGGACATTAATGGTGGTGCTGTGGATGTTATTGGAGGGGGGGGGCTGAGGACATTAATGGGGGAGCGGAGGACATTAATAGTGGGGGGGTTGAGGTCATTAATAGAGGGGGGCTGAGGTCAATAATGCACATTTGCATGCATACTACACTGGTAGGGCAGACCGTTCATTTTAATTTTAACCCTTTTCTTTTTAAATTGCACCACACCAAGCCTCATGGTGCTGCGGCACCATGTGGTTTGGCATGCAATAAAATGTGCCGTAGGTGCTGATGTGTGGGGGTGCTTTTAAGAGGTCAGTGATTACCAGCTCCAGGCCACACTGAGTCTGTGGGGCAGTCAGTCAGTCACTCTGTGGGGGGTCACTGATGTACGTGGGGGACACATATAAAGGTTCCCCCTTATATCAGTGTTCCCACTCCCCTCTTATATCAGTGAAGCCCTTTACCTTAGTGTATTCACTCTGCAGCCTCTGGTCTAAAGGGTAACTATGATGCAAGAGATTCTCTGGTCACCAGTGCCCCCCCCCACATCAAAGTTCCCAGCATCTCTCCTTCCATCAGAGTCAGCAGAGTTCACCCTTACAGTGCAAGGGTAAACTTTGAGGACTCCAAGGTAAGGAGGAACTCTGCAAACTCTGATGTAAGCGGGAGCTCTGGTGACAAGAGAACCTCTTACATCAAAGTTCCCCTTTACACCAGAGTCTGCAGCATTTCCCCTTACATCAGAGTCCACAGAGTTCCCCGCTATGTTAAGGTCAGCAGAGCTCCCCCTTGCACTATAAAGAAGAACTCTGATGTACTGTAAAGGGGACCTCTGATGTAAAGAGGGCTCTGTGGATGCTGGGAACTCTGATGTAAGTGGGGACTCTAATGTAAGGGCAGGAAGGGGGCCCACTGCAGAACATATGAAAGGGTCCCGCTGTGGGACTGTAATAAAGGGCCCTGTGATATGAGTAAATAAGCCTGTGATCAATGGGAAGGGGCTCAGGTCAAGATGGCCCTTCATGGTTTCTTACACCGGGGCCCTGAAGGTTCCTGTTACGCCCATATGTATATAGATTTCTAAACAGTACAGATAACGGAATTCCCGTGCTGATCTATCGTATTATGACCGCTACTGGCGATGTCTGTCAGGATATCCAAACAGCGACTGATTTCCGTTGGATACAGCGACTGCTTTCTGCTGGATACAGCGACTGGTTTCCGCTGGATACAGCGACTGCTTTCCGCTGGATACAGCGACTGCTTTCCGCTGGATACAGCAACTGCTTTCCGTTGGATACAGCGACTGCTTTCCGTTGGATGCAGTGACTGCTTTCCGCTGGATACAGCGACTGCTTTCCGTTGGATGCAGCGACTGCTTTCCGTTGGATGCAGCAACTGCTTTCCGTTGGATGCAGCGACTGCTTTCCGTTGAAAGCAGCGACTGCTTTCCGTTGGATGCAGCGACTTCTTTCCGCTAGATACAGCGACTGCTTTCCGCTGGATACAGCGACTGCTTTCCGCTGGATACAGCGACTGCTTTCCGTTGGATGAAGCGACTGCTTTCCGTTGGATGAAGCGACTGCTTTCCGTTGGATGCAGCGACTGCTTTCCGTTGGATGCAGCGACTGCTTTCTGTTGGATGCAGTGACTGCTTTCTGTTGGATGCAGCGACTGCTTTCTGATGGATGCAGCCACTGCTTTCTGTTGGATGCAGTGACTTCGTTCTGTTGGATGCAGCGACTGTTCAGCTGACAATTTTCCGAGAGGCTCCTTTGACCAAAGTCAAACAATTGACATTTGTTGAACAGAGCGCTGTCGGCAGGGGCATACGCTGCTCAAATTTCAGACAAGCCAGCAGGGATTGGGTGATATTTGAGCAGTGTATGGCCAAGCTTTAGATACTTTGATCTCCCCACAGAGTTCATCGCCCTTTACACACACTGCCTGCAGTCTCCAGCCTGTATATTGAACTCCAAGGTGAATCCTAATATCCTTACACTTTATAAAGGCGGGTGCATCCTTCCAGATATTTGTTTTAGATAGCTCTTTGGTGTCTTGGTCCTTTAACCATTTACTAGGTTGGGATGTCACTTGTGGCCCTAAACGATTATCCATCTCAGCTTTCTAGGTCACTGTGCCATTAGCTGTGATTTAATTGGCATGAGGAGTTGAGTTTGCGACATTAAATATACGCTGCAGCTTTCAAACTACTGCTAGTCTATAATGAACCAGGATCTCTTCCTTCATTATCCACCCCTTTATCTCTCATCATTTCCTCGCTCTGGGAAGACAAAAGGGGGTCTGTCAGTGTCATCCCCGCTCTTTACGTATTCTGCCAACCTTTTGATTGCAACCCACACACCCACAACTTGTCTATTTTTCTCCGTCTTCTATAGGCTGCCTGGGTACAGCTATGAGCCATGGCTCCTGTAATACCAGATCAGCAGCCGCTGTCATCCGGAGACAGCTTAATGGAATTGCATTGCATTCCCCAGTTTGATCATGTACAGTCTCTATGTACGGAAATGTCATAACATTGGGAATTATGTAACGCAGAGTACGGCTTGTTAAGTAGCATCTGTATTTCTGCTGCTTGTGTAGATATGTGTGTACTATCCTCGCCGTGCTGAGGTTCGCTGCTATACAAATCAATAGAATTATCTCTTAGATTGTAAGCTCCCAGGATCAGGCCCTCCTAACCCTCTTGTATTGTTGCTGTATTGTCTCCCGTTATATTGTAAAGTGCTGAGCAAACTGCTGGCGCTATATAAATCCTGTATAATAATAATAAGAGACCGATTGCCTTTTAAGAAAAAAAGCTCAAAAATGTTGGAACAAATTTCTTGCGATCTTACACTTACTCCCTGGGTCCTATATACAGGCGAGCGTTACTATGGCAATGAAGGATGGTTCCTCTGCTGCCAGCATCATTCTAGGAGTGTATAGCCTTGCTCCTGTATACTTGGTATAAGGAATAATGGGATTACAGGCATACATGCGTGTATAGTAGACGTGTGCGTGTATAGTCAACTCCATCACACAAACAGGTACTTATCACTCCTATCTGCTTCTAGCTGGTCGTACCCTCAGCCTGGCACATGCCCCCCGGATGCTGTGGCACTAATGATCAGCATATGTCTAATGACAGGCCAGCCAAGTGTCACTCATCTACTGCAAATGCTACTCATTGGAGGACCGGCCATCCTTCACCCTGGCCCCTTGCAAAGGAACCTACTTAGGGTACCAGGTGCCAAGGAACACCTCCTCCTGCCCAGATCCCCCCACCCTGCCCCGAGGAGAAGTGGCATGCAGGTCCCTCTTATTTACCGTGGGAGAAGTAAGCTTCCTTATGCTCTCCCCCAGGGAGTCCAGGTTCACCCTTCTCCTCCTGGTCGCCCTCCTGGGGCCGACCACCGGGGCTGGCTGCTGCTCCTGCGACCCCGTGGGGCTTTTGCTCCCATTCCAGCACATCCGAGCCAAGGGGCATTCTGGCTCTTCCTCCGGGCTGGTCTCAAGATAGTCAGATCCCAGCGAGCTGAACGATTCGGACGAGATCTTCCTCCTGGACATGCTGAAGCTTGGTCAAACACCATGAGCTGGAGGCAAAGCTTGTGTTAGGTCAGGCAACAAGCGGCGGTGGGCATGCTGAGCTACTAAGCCAATGTCCAGCTCCGCATTTATATAGCAGCCCCGTGCTGTGACAGTTCTTGCTTGGATCTGCCTCTTAACACCCCCCTTGCTTTCCTATTGTTTCTGCATACAGGCACCGCAGGCGGCTGGGCTGGATGGTGTGTGCGTGTGGCTGCTGCCTCGCTTTCCCTCTGTCATTTCAAAGCAGATGCACTTGTGTCTCCGTCTGCCTTTCTCTCTCCTTCCTTCCCAGGGCTGAGGCTGATACTGCTGCAGTTCTCCAGCGCTCACATCATCACGTGCTCGCCCCTGTCACCAGCATGACACACTTTAGTGGGACTTGGAAGAAGCCCTTTGTCTGAGAAACTGTGGCAGGAGGCTAAAGCCCATCCAGACCCAAGAAACCAAAATAGCATCCGCTGACCAGTCCTTAAATGTGCCGCTTGGACTCCGTTCTCATTAGTCCTCATACACACGGGACGCTTTACAGCGGCTGGTTTTGGCTTTTGACAGTTTTTTCTACAGCCAGTAAATCCCCCAGCATGTTATCTTATGTGTCCATCCCCTGCATGTTATCCTGCGTGTCCATCCCCGGCATGTTATCCTACGTGTCCATCCTTGGCATGTTATCCTGCGTGTCCATCCCCTGCATGTTATCCTGCGTGTCCATCCCCAGTGTGTTATCCTGCGTGTCCATCCTTGGCATGTTATCCTGCGTGTCCATCCCCGGCATGTTATCCTGCGTGTCCATCCCCGGCATGTTATCCTGCGTGTCCATCCCAGTGTGTTATCCTGCGTGTCCATCCCCGGCATGTTATCCTGCGTGTCCATCCCCGGCGTGTTATCCTATGTGTCCATCCCCGGCGTGTTATCCTGCGTGTCCATCCCCGGCGTGTTATCCTGCGTGTCCATCCCCGGCATGTTATCATATGTGTCCATCCCCGGCATGTTATCCTACGTGTCCATCCCCAGCATGTTATCGTACGTGTCCATCCTTGGCATGTTATCCTGCGTGTCCATCCCCGGCATGTTATCCTACGTGTCCATCCTTGGCATGTTATCCTGCGTGTCCATCCCCGGCATGTTATCCTATGTGTCCCATCCCCGGCATGTTATCCTACGTGTCCATCCCCAGCATGTTATCGTACGTCTCCATCCTTGGCATGTTATCCTGCGTGTCCATCCCCGGCATGTTATCCTACGTGTCCATCCTCGGCATGTTATCCTACGTGTCCATCCTCGGCATGTTATTGTACGTGTCCATCCTTGGCATGTTATCCGGCGTGTCCATCCCCGGCATGTTATCCTACGTGTCCATCCTCGGCATGTTATTGTACGTGTCCATCCTCGGCATGTTATTGTACGTGTCCATCCTTGGCATGTTATCCTGCGTGCCCATCCCCGGCATGTTATCCTACGTGTCCATCCCCGGCATGTTATTGTACGTGTCCATCCTCGGCATGTTATTGTACGTGTCCATCCTTGGCATGTTATCCTGCGTGTCCATCCCCGGCATGTTATCCTACGTGTCCATCCTCGGCATGTTATTGTACGTGTCCATCCCCCGCATGTTATCCTATGTGTCCATCCCCGGCGTGTTATCCTATGTGTCCATCTCCGGCGTGTTATCCTATGTGTCCATCCATCCCCCGGCGTGTTATCCTCCGTGTCCATCCCCGGCGTGTTATCCTCCGTGTCCATCCCCGGCGTGTTATCCTCCGTGTCCATCCCCGGCGTGTTATCCTCCGTGTCCCATCCCCGGCGTGTTATCCTCCGTGTCCATCCCCGGCGTGTTATCCTACGTGTCCATCCCGACGTGTTATCCTGCGTGTCCATCCCCGGCACGTTATCCTGCGTGTCCATCCCCGGCACGTTATCCTGCGTGTCCATCCCCGGCACGTTATCCTGCGTGTCCATCCCCGGCACGTTATCCTGCGTGTCCATCCCCGGCACGTTATCCTGCGTGTCCATCCCCGGCACGTTATCCTGCGTGTCCATCCCCGGCATGTTATCCTGCGTGTCCATCCTTGGCATGTTATCCTATGTGTCCATCCCCGGCATGTTATCCTATGTGTCCATCCCTGGCATGTTATCCTATGTGTCCATCCCCGGCATGTTATCCTGCGTGTCCATCCTTGGCATGTTATCCTATGTGTCCATCCCCGGCATGTTATCCTATGTGTCCATCCCCGGCATGTTATCCTATGTGTCCATCCCCGGCATGTTATCCTATGTGTCCATCCCCGGCATGTTGTCCTATGTGTCCATCCTCGGCATGTTATCCTGCGTGTCCATCCTTGGCATGTTATCCTATGTGTCCATCCCCGGCATGTTATCCTATGTGTCCATCCCCGGCATGTTATCCTATGTGTCCATCCCCGGCATGTTATCCTATGTGTCCATCCCCGGCATGTTATCCTATGTGTCCATCCCCGGCATGTTATCCTATGTGTCCATGCACACAAACTGTAATCAGTGTTTTTTGGCTGGAAAAAAACCTCCAGAACTAGAGGGTTTCTAGAGGAGTTTTTTTAGCTGTAAAAACGCTGCATCGCTTAAAAACGCTTTACACACAGTAAAACGCCGCAAACCAGTGTTTTTGGATGTTTTTATGACCAAAAAAATTTATTTTTTTAGGTAAAAATACGCCAACGCATAAAAACGCAGGAAAATATGGCTAAACGCTATTGCAAAAACGCTTAAAAACTCAAATTTTTAATGTGACTTTACACAGCTAATGTTACCAGCATTATCAAAATGTCCCGTGTGTGTGAGGACTAATATTTATCTAGTGATCCTGACAGTACAGCCTGGGTCACACCAATGCAGGGTTTTAGTGTATTTTGCTGAAATCCACTATAGTCCATTTAACCCCTAGTTCATATCTGTGCGAGTGGTGCCGCTGCGGGGCCCGCACATATACCTGCAGCTGCACCACCCACACAGAGGAATGCGTGACCTGCACATATACCTGCAGCTGCACCACCCACACAGAGGAATGCGGGACCTGCACATATACCTGCAGCTGCACCACCCACACAGAGGGATGCGGGACCCGCACATAAACCTGCAGCTGCACCACCCACACATAGGAATGAGGGACCCGCACATATACCTGCAGCTGCACCACCCACACAGAGGAATGCGGGACCCGCACATATACCTACAGCTGCACCACTCACACAGAGGGATGCGGGACCCGCACATAAACCTGCAGCTGCAACACCCACACAGAGGAATGAGGGACCCGCACATATACCTACAGCTGCACCACCCACACAGAGGGATGCGGGACCCGCACATAAACCTGCAGCTGCAACACCCACACAGAAGAATGCGGGACCTGCACAAATACCTGCATCTGCACCACCCACACAGAGGAATGAGGGACCCCGCACAAATGTCTGCATCTGCACCGCCCACACAGAGGAATGAGGGACCCGCACAAATGCCTGCAGCTGCACCGCTCACACAGAGGAATGAGGGACCCGCACAAATGCCTGCAGCTGCACCGCTCACACAGAGGAATGAGGGACCCGCACAAATGCCTGCAGCTGCACCGCTCACACAGAGGAATGAGGGACCCGCACAAATGCCTGCAGCTGCACCGCTCACACAGAGGAATGAGGGACCCGCACAAATGCCTGCATCTGCACCACCCACACAGAGGAATGAGGGACGCGCACAAATGCCTGCAGCCGCACCACCCACACAGAGGAATGAGGGACCCGCACAAATGCCTGCAGCCGCACCGCCCACACAGAGGAATGCAGGACCCGCACAAATGCCTGCAGCTGCACCACCCACACAGAGGAATGAGGGACCCGCACAAATGCCTGCAGCTGCACCGCCCACACAGAGGAATGCGGGACCCGTACAAATGCCTGCAGCTGCACCACCACCCACACAGAGGAATGAGGGACCCGCACAAATACCTGCAGCTGCACCGCTCACACAGAGGAATGAGGGACCCGCACAAATACCTGCAGCTGCACCGCTCACACAGAGGAATGAGGGACCCGCACAAATGCCCTGCATCTGCACCACCCACACAGAGGAATGAGGGACGCGCACAAATGCCTGCAGCTGCACCACCCACACAGAGGAATGAGGGACCCGCACAAATGCCTGCAGCCGCACCGCCCACACAGAGGAATGCAGGACCCGCACAAATGCCTGCAGCTGCACCACCCACACAGAGGAATGCGGGACCCGCACAAATGCCTGCAGCTGCACCGCCCACACAGAGGAATTCAGGACCCGCTCAAATACCTGCAGCCGCACAACCCACACAGAGGACTGTGGGACCCGCAGGCGGGTGCCATGAAATCACTGGAAATCGCAACCGTACTGGGAACCTCAGTTCCCGTGCGGGCTGCAATTTCCATAGTAGTTTAGGGACTTCTTCCCTGCACGTCCCGGAGCACGGGAGTCCATCCAAATGAATGGGCTCTCATGCCCGCGCAAATCACAGCCCGCACAGATGTGAACCAGGGTTAACATGGTTTCTTATAGGACACATTCACATCTATGCGTTTTTCAGACTTTTTTAAATGCAACACGGTGAGTTTTTTGGTTCAATAGATTTCAATGGACATGCAGCAGAAACTCATGTAGTGCATTTTTGATGTGTTTTGCTGGGGGTTTTTTTGTAATAGGAAAGTACTGACTTTGATGTGATTTTGATGCTACATGAGTGCTATAGGGTGTAAAGTTGCATCAGAATCTCATCAAAGTCACATTACATGAACAGAACTGTGCAACTTAGATGCAACTTTGATGTGACTTTGGATGGGTGTGACTTTGATGCAACTTTTTTGCTAATAGGAAAGCATGACAGTTCTGGTCATGTAATGTAAGTTTGATGGGACTCTGATGTGACTTTACACCCTATAGCACACTCATGTAGCATCAAAGCCGCACCATGTCGCACCCATCCAAAGTTGCATCCAAGTCTCATAAAAGTCACACCAATCCAAAGTCACATCAAAGTTGCATCTAAGTCGCACAGTTCTGTTCATGTAATGCAACTTTGATGGGAGTCTCGTGCAACTTTACATTCTATAGCACTCATGTAGCGTCAAAGTCTCTTCCATGAGGCACCTATCCAAAGTCGCATCCAAGTTTCATCAAAGTCATACCCATCCAAAGTCACATCAAAGTTGCATCTAAGTCGCACAGTTCTGTTCATGTAATGCAACTTTGATGGGAGTCTCATGCAACTTTACATTCTATAGCACTCATGTAGCGTCAAAGTCGCTTCCATGTCACACCTATCCAAAGTCGCATCCAAGTCTCATCAAAGTCATACCCATCCAAAGTCACATCAAAGTTGCATCTAAGTTCCACCCGTCAATACGTAACTACTGGCAAAAAAACCCGCAAAACTTATCAAAAACGTGTATTCAAAAATGAAGAAAAACGCGCCATCATAACACATAGAGGTGTGAACCTAGCCTTACGATCTTTCTTTTTGAGAATAGAAAAATATAGAGTTCAGTTCATGTAGTGTGACTTTGATGCAACTTTGCACTCAGGTAGCATCAAAAGCTGCATCCAAGTCACACCAAGTCGCACCCATCCAAAGTCGTATCCACATTGAGTCAAAGTCGCACCCATCCAAAGTCGTATCCACATTGAGTCAAAGTCTCACCCATCCAAAGTCGCACCCATCAAAGTTGCATCAGTGTCGCACCCATCCAAAGTCGCATCAGTGTCGCACCCATCCAAAGTC